GTGTGTGTGTGTGTTTGTATTTGATGTGTGCAAATGCTGATCAGGCCACTATAACTCTCTATTTAAAGGTGATTTAGTCTCAGTTAGTCCAGGGAGTTCTGCTCTTGTTTAAAAGTTACTTTAAACCTAATGAGACTCACACTAACTAAAGTGTGATATACAGTAGTTGTCATGGTTACTGTGTCATGATAGAGCATTGCATGTGCTAATACAATAACATAATGGATACTTTTTAAAACTGTTAATCTTGGTTGTAAAACCAGTAATCTCTAATCTGTGTCAACACTGGTAGATAACCCTATGTATAGTAAACATTATCTGTATTATGGTGCTGAAAGTGTTTTGTAGTACAACCTGTTCGTATTTTTAGGTCAATGTGTTCATGTTGGTAGAGATCTTTTGCTGTTTTAGAATGAAATGATGCTGAGACGCCCATGAATAGAGTGTTCTGGTAGTTTGAGTGCATTTTGGATGTGATATTAACTGTTTTGCCAAGCCGCATGTTTGTAAAGGGATCCGTGTGAAGAGCTTTAAAACGGTGCACACAGCGTTGAGTACAGTGTGTAACCAGTTGTACAAAAAAAAACGGTGATACAACATGGATTATCTAAATGGATTCAAAAACTGCACTGCGTCAAGTAAGAGTGATTTCTGCCTCCATTTTGAGTCTGGCAGATTGTCATCTCCGGTTTTGTTTTAGTCTTTTCTGCCATTCGTTTTTGTACACAGAAGCAATCTGCATACCCAATTGTTTGCACCCCTCTACCAACAGGGAACCACTATTAGCCAATACATCTCCAGGTTTTGAATGACACGGTGGCTTTTGACTGCTCAAAGCAACACAGAACTTTCTTGTTTGGCCTGTGCACCTGATTGACAATGGCTTCAGCTAGACATTTTCCTCTCTACTGGCACAGACTGAATCCATTGCGGAGTGCATTTTCCCCAATGAGTTGGATTATTGCAAGTCTGGGACTGTACACGCTCTAGGGAGTGTGTATGCTTAAGGACAATTTGTGCCTCTAGCCTTCGCTGTAATTCTGTTGACAATGTTTGATTTCTTTCGGCAATTTGCCCCAAGAAGCCGAAGAGACATTTGTGCTCAGAAGACATGGGGCTGATTGTCTACACTCCTGGTAATGTAGGCTGCCTGCATTTTACTAAATTAAGTTTTCACATAGGAGCTCAGCAGGGAATCTGTTGTGGTATTATTATATCCATATTTTTCAAACATATTTACTGTTGAGTCTTTTTAGTGTTTCTTTCTTCTTTCCCAGACCAGCTGCTGCTGGAAAGATTTTGATTGATTGTGACTGTAAGAGCATAAAACATCATAGGGGCCGCAGAAGAAGCTCCTCCGGTTTTTGGCAGATCCCTGATGGTGATGATCATTACTACCCATTAAGGCATTGTGTCAAATGATGGCACCTGGGCTACAAGCAAAGGGAACAGTCACCGCTATTGCTCTGGCTCCTATTTTCACTGGTTCAGTTTGTGAGGCTGTGAACTTCAGGAAACCAAAATTTGTCAGAATAGCCAGGCTGGTAGAGAGACCCGAAGATACTCGGTAAAGGTTATACTTGTTAAAGTGTGTTTCAGTCACTGTCACCACTGGGAGTTGCAGTCCCTCCTGAGAGGAGCGGAGACAGCTGCAAATTGGGAGAAGATTTGAGGCGCGTTGACTGATTGTTTCTATGAAACTGAAGTATAGCTTTAGATCTAGTAATCTATAGATTTGTGCAAATATAGGTTTTTGACTTACTGGTGTAATTTACATGACTTTGGATGGTCCAAAAAATCCTGGATTGATTTATTGCCCTGCCCTAAGGAACAGGGGGTGAAACCCAGTCTGCAGTGTAAAAGTTGGACACACCCATCCCCACCCCAACTTTCATCCCCTCACATTTTGCTGTGCTGCATTAAATACATGCTTCCTTTTGTATTGCCACTAAAACATGTAAAAGATGTAAATCTTATTTGTCCCACAAAATGCAATCTGAATCCCTAGAGAGACTGGACTTCATTAAACAACATTTGAATAGAATTCTTGTACACTTTTCTGCATAAATCTTTCACCATGTTGCAAACTTTTGACATTGACCATTTACATTTCCTCAGACATTTTTAATAGATTGTTGAATAAGCTGTCATAGTGTTCGTTCAGGTTGCACATCTTCTGCCCTTGTGGATTTTCTTACGTCTGCCTCTGCCTCCCACAGTTGCATCGGGTGGACAACCTCAGCATGCTGGAGACGGGCACCATGGGAGCAAAGGCGTAATGAGGGAGAGGAGGGCAGCTGGTGACCCCTATTGGTCCTATTCAGGTGAGCTCTCATTTGTGCGCTTGCCAGAGCCCTCAGTAGGAGGGGAAATGTGTTTCTTTGACTTACTCACCCCTGTTCCAGCTTGCCTATAATTTTCTGGTTTTTGCCTACTTTTTTGCCAGTACCCCCTATTTCTTCCGTATTGCAGGAGCCGAAATAGACCGAATCAGGCATTTAGTATTCAATAGTTATATACCTGTACTGTAGGTTTTCATTGTCCTTAATTACTCTAATTAAACTAATGCACTTGAGAAAAAGAAGACAGAAAAAACTGATATATTATAAAGAGAGTTAACATTATGTTGTAGCCAACTGTGATTAATCCCAAATGATTTATTTATAGTCAGGTTTGGATCAAGCATGCAAATTGAGTGGATTGAAATGAGAATTACAAATACAAAAGTCGAACATGGCATATAGACAATTATGACCTCTAGTGTGTCACATTCAGTTGGCAGCCATTTCCAGCAGAACGCTTTTAAAAGTATAATTTATCAGAAATACAGTATGCCTAGCTGTTAAAGCCTAGCTAGTTTAGTTTTTAATTCCTGCTTCTATTATTGATAATATGCATGCTTTTAACGCTGAAGTAAGTGCTTCAGGGAATTCAGACTTGCCTCCTCCTCTAATCTCTCAGCCATCTACCTTAACAATCTGGAAAGATGGGCGGATATGGCTGCCGAGAGTGAACAGTCAGATACACGCTCTAATGGATGATTCATTATGTTCTCTTTTATGCCTGTAAATATTCTAGAGTCGTATGTGTTTACATATCCGTATTTGTTCAGTAAAGTTGGGGTCTGTTTTTCAAAGTGAAAGTGACAAATTGATGTGTAAACTCTGCTTACTGAAGTTTTTAAAGCAAATTTTTTATTTTTCTCATTCGGATAGGTACAAGGTTGTACATGTGCATTTGTTGTGATTACATAACTTCTTATCAAAAAATAGTGAGTCGCAACTTTGCTAACATAGCCAAACATCAAGTGCAACAACACAAGACACAGCAAGCCAGCTACTAATACTAACTGATCCAACAGCAAGAAGGCCAGCTTACCGTCTATCTTGCAGCTTTCTTTTTTAAAAGCTCAAGCCAGCGACTTAAAGACAGTCCGTGAGTCCGGTCTCTGTAGAGGCTGCTGAGCCTGGTTACGTTGTCCCGCTTGTCTGCCTCTGGTTCTAGTGCCCACACCACACTACTCTGACTTCCCAGTCCAGGCAGAACTGAGCTAACTAGCTAGTTACTTCAGCAACAAGTACAGCAATTTGTACAAATCACTTAAGAGTTGAGGCGGTAAAGCATTACACACTTCTCACGGGAGATCATTCCTGGCAACCCGGGTTTCATAGTGTGAGAACAGGCATTTGGGGTGCAGACTGGGAATGAAAGAGGCACCACTCTCCCAATTAGAAGTAAGTGTACCACTAAAATGATTTTGAAGCTGTTATTTTAAGGTAAAATTGTATAATGTTTCTTTAAGTGGCAGCAGCATAGTCATAGGCTTTACAAAGTTGTTTATTTCAAAGTCTGCAAAAAGCACATTTAGCTAAGCAAATATGAAAATATTTTGTAAAGAAGCTGTTCCTGCTGTAAACTTTAAAAGGCATTTTGTATAGTTTATTGAGAAATTTTCATTTCATTTTTAAATCCACGCTTTAGCACCATCAAGGTTACCAACATGCCATACATATATGCAGTATTTATATAGTGAATACGTTTTGCATCCACTCACTTACTATTTAAATATTGTTGCTCATTAAAAAATAAAAAAAAATGAATGAGGAAAACGCGCTTTCTGCATTATAAATTCCTTTTAAATGTAATAGTACGCTTTGTAAATGTATAGGCAGGTGGATGCAGATCCAGGAGATGTGTTGTTGGCTGGGAACAATTATGATGAGCACACATCAATGTTCTTTCACAGGACTGCTTCACATTCAACTATACACACTCACACCCCAGTGCAAACACAGCCCTCGGTTGGGCATTGAGCAGCTCTGGTGGGAAATGGGGGTTATGTACTTTGATCGAGGGCAGCTCATTGGAAGAGCTCAGGAAGTGAGGAACAGTCAGTAAAATTATATTTACAGGTTCCAAGGTCCAATAACATCACCTAGCAAATAACTAACTTGGTTCCTCTGCTCTTGGAGTGAATCACAGCTCTCAAAATGATTATACTCATGGAATATTCTGTCTTTGGCACTGCTGTTGTGAGTAAAAAATATGTGTATCTGTACATGTGTACAAAAGGCTTGATACAGACTTTTCACATTCCTTTGGTGAATTCAATTTGAGGGCCACATGTCTTTTATTTGACTGAATGTTATGTATGCCATGTTTGTGCATAGAGTTGGATGCACGCTTAACAAGAGGCGGGCTAGTAATTGGGAGAAGATAGGATCTCTTAATGTTTTTTTTAATTTTAACATAGGGAGGTTGGAGAAAAACATTGCTAAACATCAGGTCAGGCAACTCGCTGATGGCTTGATTTTGGACGTTCATTTCAGGCCCCGTTCAGAGCACTTATTCCTACCAGTGAAGGCAGCTGGCTGATTGTACTGAGAAAAGGGAAGCATTGAGGGAACACAGAAATGTCCATTGCTTTGGAAAGGTAATTAGTGGCTAAGGCTGTGAATGGGGGACAGACAAGCGTGCCTTAGCAGCTAAATGGTTATTAAGGGCATTTGCTCTGTGCAAGTGAGTGTAAAAGAAATGCACACAGTAGGGTTAGCCTGAAGCTAGAAGGTACTGGTGCAAAATAGAATTCAGTTCTAGGAGCTAAACACGTATAGAGTACAGAACCCATTGTTTCACACATTTTCCACACCCTTCACTGTGTATCCTACAGTCTACAGAACAGTTTGAAGAATGTAGAACATGAGTGTCAGAAACTGGAGCAGTAGCAAATACAATTGAGCAACAATTTAGAGAGTTCAGTTGTAAAAGTTTAATTGTACAACATATTGTTGAATTAATGTTGAGAAAGTGTAAACATTCGGTTTCTTCAACGTTTTTTTTAATATGAGATAATGGTTTGAGTTTTTACATAAGGTGATGATATTAATGTCATCAGTATCAAAATATATTCCATAGTTTTCATGATAAGAGAGATTTCTAAACCCCCCCTTTAACACATTAATCCAATGCATTGAGGAGCGAGGCGCACGGTGTAATGAGAGCTCTTATCATCCCATGACACGTCACCCTTCTGTGTGCTTTGGTTATGAACCTCACTGAAAGTAGCCTCGAAACCTACACCCTGAAATTTGATTAAAAGTTATTTAAGGCATGGTGTGTGAGTGTGCGTTTGTGTGTGAGTGTGAGTGCGCGTGCATGCCTGTGCGTGTGTGTGTGTGTAGGCATTTTTCATAAGAGGGATGATATCATACTCCCTATAAGACTCCCACAGGAACAGGGCTATGCATCATTTCCCCCTTTTTATATCTCTGCAGGTTTTCACATCTTCTCTGTTAGTTTCTCTGGCTTCCTTTATCAGTATTTTTATGTTTTGGGGCAATATAGGCAGTAGTTTGCTTTTGATTGCACTCTTGTTGATTTATTGTTCTAGTTTAATTACAGCACAACAGTTGGAGTACCTTAATGTGCATTTGCAGAGGCATTATGCCTGATCCCCCTTAACAGTGTGTAGGATGAAGAAAAAAAAAGAAAAACCGAGCAAAGAAATAATGGCATTAGATGTAGAAAAATATAGATGAACAACCTGAAGAAAGTAGTCTACTACACTTGATTGTTTTTACTGCATTATGAGATTTTGTCAAGTCCCCTAATTAACTCGCCTGTCATTTCAGGCTGATATTAAGCCCAATGAAAGATTTATATCCTTGCTGTGCTCACTAAGAATGTATGATTTGGGTTTATAAAAAAAAGAAAACCGTGCGTAGTTGGAGAAATAAAAAATGCAGTAAAGACCACATGATGATACTGTAGCCCAAATCATTTACATGACGATAGTCTACCTCCGCAAATGAATAATATAGCTATTAAAGCGCTACATCTCAGGGATTTTTCACATTTATTACCTACTCCAAGCTCTGTAGAGATGGAGCTCCTACTGTCTGTTTTCATCCAGCAGTCATGGATGTTTGGATGGGAGCCACCCTGACGAGCTGTTTTAGCCACTGAAAGAGCCTGCGTTTGTCTGATACGTGCGGATTATATTTCCCCTCAGCCTGACTGTTTTATTCCACTTCACTGAGGTTGCCCGTGATCATTAGCAATCTTTCCACTCATGTCTCACATAATGAAGTGAATGAAGTGTCATTTTCAATCAATTGCTATGTTGATCCAACTTAATTAGTACTTTAGAGGATACAAAACAAGATTAGGTAACTCACTGTTCTTGATTGCCAGGGCTGTTTGTTTTGGCTTTGAATTAACTCTCCTTTCTACGGCTGCACGCACTTTCTGTAGCTGCTTATTGTGTTTCTTCACTACTTTCAATCGATCACAGTATTCTCTTTAATTTTTGGTTAAAAATATGTGGCTAAGAAATTGCACTGATTTGGTATTCCCAGCTTTTAAGATAAACATGTCAGTCATACTTTTATTTCATATTATTCTGCAGTTGTGCGATTGATCTCGTTATAGAGACACACAGTTTTTGTAAAAAAAACAAACCACAGGGGTTTATGGATTGATTTCAAAATGTGACTGCTTCTCAGATTAGTGAGTTGGTTCTGACATGCTAAACCCTATGATTCACCTTAAATTGGCTGAGTGCTTGCGAAGGCAGTGCACTTTGTCTCTTGTGGTTTGACACCCCCTACAAAGGCTGGAGGGAAAAGAGCAAAGCCATGTTGTCATGGTGCCCGACAGAAGGAGCTCTGCCTCCTGGAGGTAATGAATCGAGAGGAGGATTGCTCCCCGTAGACCTCCATGTATGAGAAGCACTTGACTTTAAAGCAAAGCTCCCTGACTGTACAGCCGAACAGGGTTTAGGCATGGAGGGTAAAGTATGGGGAATTCTATACACGGATCCAGG